TATATATATATATACATAATTGAATAGAAAAAATATGCATGAAATAATAAAAAAGTTATTAAATTTGTAATAAGATTATAAATAAATTAAATTTTAACATGAATAACTTGTTTATTTTTGGCTTTTAAATTTAAAGACAAATCAAATAATAATTTAATTGTCTTCGAGGTGAGTATTAATATTGAATTATAGTAACCATTTTAGTATCTCTTCTAAATTAGTTGTATGGGTTGTTATTTATGCTTGATTAATGTAACTAATTTTTTCATTATTAAATTTTTTCGGTTATTTCGATGCAAATGTTTGTAATATCATATTTTAAAATATTTAATGCATCATAGTATTCCATGTTGAGTGATATGAAATTGTGAATGATATGATCTGCATATATTGCTTATGTGTATGCTTGCCTATGATGGAGTTACCCCTTTATGATAATTGCAGAAGAATGTTAAGGTATTCATGCATGTATATGAAAAATGATTTTGATATTAAATTTTCTTAATTTGTATAAATTTTTAGAAGGTGCTTCTATGATCGCGGTAGAGATAGAAAATGATATAGATATAGTAAATTTTTTTTAATAACATCAAATATTTATATTGATTTATTAAAAGCTTGACAGACATGAATGTTGCTTTTTTTTCGCTTGTATTACTCTAATTTTGGAGTATGTGTACTGATTGGCTTGTTTAGTTCTTTGTTATTTTAAAGTAATTTTTCAGGTTAGCTAATTGATTAAAAGATGAGCGATAGAAGAGATAACTTTTATAGAAGATGCAGACAATCCGTAACAAGGTAAATTTAATTATAATGCTTTATGTTTTAGTGATTCTGTCATTTGTTAATAGTATATTATATTAAATAAATAGAAAAAATTTAGTTTACACCATCCCATTTTTTTTCCACCTTATTTAATTTCAAACTCTAGACCGAGTTGTGACACTCACCAAATTGTCGAACTAGAGGAACTTTAATGATTGTTGCTGAAGCGGTTGTTGATTGAGTCAAATCGACTTGACTCTTATTTTTATTTGCCTAAAAAAACTCAAGCTTTACTTCATTCTTGATTTCTTATGGAAGAACCTTTTTCTTTTCCCCTTTTACATAAGAATAGTAGCCACAATTTCGCCTTTGGTGATAATAAATTCATCTTTAGGGATGATTATTTTAAAGGAAAATGTTTGTAGAGCGCGATGGGAGGAAGAAGATGAAAAAGTCAAGCAATGTTTAAATGGAAGTAGCATGTCTATATTTATAACATCCGACAATGATGACGTTTTCAAAAAGCAAATCAACATTGGAAATAATCAGTGTTTTGAAATGCGCTTCATGCGCAAAGCGAAGCGCATAACGCCCGCTTTGCATTCTTAAAGCGAGTCAGTTTTTTTTTTCAAAGGAGCGCATACAACAGGCGGTTTGGTGTTCGAGAGTTTGAGTAACACAAGGGAGCATCCTTGGAGTATTGTGGTCTTCCTTCGATTTCTCCTTTGAGTTCGGCGTATGGATTTTACCGCAAATGGTGTACAGAGACTGAAAGAGCTCGATGCCGAGCTTGCTAAATTCGCAAGGGGAAAGCGTTCGAACATTGACCGAGACATCGAGTTGTTATAACTCAGGGAGAGAGCCTTTGATCTTCGAGCAAGAGAGACACTTGCCAAACCCACTCAATCAAACTGTCAAGCATCAAGCCAAGTTACCTTATGCTAATGATTATGATATTATATGCAATGGTATATTTCACTTTAGAGAAAGTCTGTTCTATTTTATGTGATTTTTTAAGTTTTACTTTATATTTTATAATTATTTATGAATAAATTTATATATTAATAGCTTTATATAACATATTAGCACTTAGGTTAATAAAAGTGTCGCTTCACTTCGTGCTATGTGATTTGAAATAAAAATAAAGCCCTTCACATCGCATTGCGCTTTGCATTTTGATAACAATACAACTAGTGTGAAAGTCAAAATTGTGTTACATTGGCACCTATGCCTATAGACAATTTTTCTTTTCTATGCCTAAGGGCACTTAAGTTATTTATTATTATTATTATATGATATAAAAAGGCTTATTACTTTTAGGGTTAGGGGCATGCATGAGACTGGATCGTGAGTCTTAGGTTTAGGGTTTGGCAGAGATTTCTTATCTCTCGAATTGTTGGAATTGGGAGAGATTGCCAACCTCTTGAATTGTAGGTGTTTATCTTTGTATTTTTGTTGAGTTATTAGGATTATTAAAGGAAAATTGTGTTTGCCTAATTTCTACGAAAGATCTTGATGATTTTGACGTCAACTCATATCAAATTGATACTAGAGCTCAAGATTTTGGGGATGGGATTAACAAAGGAGTGGATCGATCTTTTTGATGAATTTGAAGCAAATCGAGGCAAGTTCGACATACTAGAAGATGGGATAGCTCGACACTACTTCATACAAAGACCCAAAACTCCCATTTTCTCTTCCTCTCGTGCCGACTTCTCTTCCTTTCACGTCGATACAGTTGCGATTAGAGCAGCTAGGAAGTCATCATTTGGGAAGTGGCGTACAGAGACTTTAAACTCATTTTTCTCTATCTTTTGCGTCGTCTATGTAATACAGTTGCGATCAGAGCTAGCTGGAAGTCAACGATGGAGAAGCGACATATAGAGACCTGAAGCTACGATCTTCTCCAATTTTGCTGTGTTCGAGCCTTACAAAAGGATCACGACTACAGTAACGCGATTTGAGCTATTGGGGAACAAGCTCGCAGCAGTGACCCAAATCTTCATCTAAATTCTAAGCTTGCGTAGGTTTGCTTGATTTGAACGGGATTTATACTTCTAATTTCAACTTACAAATGTGATTTCACATATGAAGTTACCGTATTTCAGCTTGTACTAAAGCTATTCAGACCGACTACTGGCATGAACTCGCCAAGATCAACGTGAACTCGGTTGTCTTAGGGCAAACTCGCTAGTTTCATGGTGAACTCATTAGAGCCTACTCATTCAATGTGCTATTAAAGTATTCACCAAAGCTCAGGAATACTTGTGTAACCTTAGTTGAACTTTAATGCCTAGTTTCAATTGCCGTGGAGAAGAAACAAAGGATTGAAGGAGAGGAAACAACGAGTTGGAAGCCGAAGAGTTGAAAGTGAGGGGATGAGAAACTGAATAGAGCGGGAGAAGAAGAGAATGGAGGTCGGGAAGTTGAAGAGTTGAATTCATCTATGTAGTCTCAGACCGACTTGCCTTGGAACGCAGAGGAGAGCCCTTGCCCTAGCGTGCCAGCAAAGAAGAAGAGAGGAAGAAGCATTGCATCAAAAGGAGGTGACGGGTTATGCTAGTGCGAGAGGGAGCTAAAGCCGAGCTTTTGATCCGAGTCCCGTGCGCAGAGGAGGTGATGACGGGAGAAGAAGAATAAGATGCTGCGTACAGAGGTGACTGATTGAGTTCATGTGGAAGGGAGCTGAAGTCATTTCTCGTGCAATTCAAATCTCACAAAGGGAAGAGGTCTCGCGTGGCTGCGGGTTAGGGCTGGAGTAGGATAAAGGTAATTTTATTATGTTAATTAATAATATATATATATATATATATATATATATATATTATAAGTTTATTTATTAAATTTTATTCAAAATTTAGGGTTTAAATTTTAAATGGATTATTTAATGTGAATTTGATTATAGTTATTAGACTTAAAGGTTAAAATAGTGAAATCGTAATTTAAATAGTGTAAAAGAACAGTAATTGATAATTAAGAAATAATTAAGTAATAATTAAATATTTTATATTTTATAGGTGATAATTTGATAGATGTAATACAAGAGCAAACAAATCGTTTATCGTCAAAGTGAGCACTCGTATTTTAAATATATAGTAATAATTTATTTCTTCTCAACTATTTTTTAGTTAATGACACTTGTCATGCTTTATTCTGATTGAGATATTCTTTTCTTTATCGGCCATATTGTGATGAATACTTGTAACTACTTACAATCATGCATTGGTATATGTTTTATGTAGTATGTTGACTTAAATACAATAAATACATGAATGTTTGTTTATGTTGACTACTTGTATGTGCATGACTGACTAAGATGGATTCATTCTTTGACGGTACTAGTGAGTGAACACTAAATAACCATGCACACTTATGGAAAAAGAATATTGATATCCATGTTTCTTAATTGACACAAAATTTTAGACGGTGCTCCTGTGACAGTTATATAAATATATAATGATATTGAGATATTATTGATATAGAAGAATTTTTTGAATAATATCAAATATTTTTTTTTGATTTATTAAAAGCTTGACTGACATGCATATTATTTTTTTCTTTTGTATTACTATGGTATATAAGTATGAGTATTCATTAGTATTTATTAGTTTAATGTTGTTTTAAATTAATATTTCAGGCTTAAATAGGCAATTTAAAGATGAGGGATAAAAGAAGAAGTGTTTATAGAAGATGCGGACAACCAGTAACGAGGCGAATGTAATTTTACTGTTTTAATTTCAACTAATGACTCTTTCATTTGTCAACTAATAAATAAATATAGGAAACATAATTCTCACCCGTCGACTCTCTATTTCCGTCTTGATTGATTCCAAGCCCTAGGTTGGGTCGTGACATGAGGTGAATGTGATTTTACTGTTTTAATTTTAACTAATGACTCTTTCATTTGTTAATTAATAAATAAATATAGGAAACATAATTCTCACCTGCAGACTGTCTATTTCCGTCTTGGTTGATTCCAAACCCTAGGCTGAGTCGTGACATAAACTCGCTCTAACTCAAGGCTATTCATCGACATTCATTCAAAAAACTTATTTGCTTCCGTTGATTAAGATTGCAAATTTTTCATCAAGTTGATTGGTGACTTTTATAAGAATTTTGTTATAGCAGTTGAATATGTATGCAGAATGTAATCTCTTCATGCAGTATCTTGTTTTCTGTATAAAGCTATCTTTAAGCTTTACTATGTATTTCAATTTATTTATCTGGCTTAATTTGTAGCCTATTTTCTAGCATTGGACTCCGATCCAAATCTGTTAATAGTGGGTCGGGGAAGGGCTGGAGGGAGGGAACTCTTTGTACTCAAATTATTTGAATATATATAGTGAAATCCCAAAGCTTCGTAAACTGAGTTTCTCTTTTTCTTCTCTCTTTCACTTGTGGTTCGTCTTAGTATGGTTCTTGTGTAATGCACGGATTACTCGGGATACAGAAAAATGCCTAATGAATGGTTGTATGCTGTTGGGTGCATCTTATTTTGGAATGGTTAAAAACACTAACAGTCTAAAAGAATCAACTTAAAGGTATTTGTAATCAAACTAATGAAAACATTTTTGCATACCATGCATGGTAGTTTCATTGTTATTGTTAATATTATTTTTTGATGTCTGTTTTTTAGGACTTGATCTAGATTCTTATAATCGCTCATGGTGTTGGAGCAGCTTTCAATGGAGATTTAACATGCTTTGGAATTTCACAGGCTTATCGGAAGACGGAAGAGGTGTTGTTAACTTTGTTATTGAGAAAAGTGATGGTTCCACATTTTTCCCTTCAGCTGGCAGTGAACCAAAAAAGTCTGCTACGATTCAGGTTTCTTAAAGCTATATGAAGTGATCTTTCACATGTTGTCTGTTGAAGCCTGCCTATTTGTCTTTTCTATTTTTGTTTAAAAAGTTGCATTAGAGTGCAATTTGGTGGTAGATTTACAATCCATGAAGTGATTTTGTAATTTTTAGAAATATTTTCTTAGCAATATGTCAAAATTCGTGATCTTAGTCATTATGTCTTCAAATCTTGTGAGAGATGCATCTCTATTGTTTTCCCTCTGTGCTGTTCAGCCGCTTGCTATAGATTGATGACCTTACTAAAGTTTCCATGTCATGTATCACTGTCTCATCTTCAGATCTTAAGAATAGCCCTGAAAAGGAACATATAGGTTACATTGGTGATTCTGAAACATTCCTGGATAAATCTGCAACCTATTTAAGCTAGTATACTGGATTTGAAGAACCAAATAAACCCCATGATTTAGTAATATGGGAATATTGGATAAGAGTTTTTTTTCACCTTAAACATGACAAACATGCAAATTTCTTGCATTTAAACTGGCGTTCAATTGCATTGGGTAAACATGGGACTAGGATACATCACACTATTTACTCTATATGCCTATGGCGTCACTTCAATACCTTTTGGGGCATTTATATGCAAACCACACAATTCTTATCTATTTGCATTTCTAATACCTAAACTTTTTGATATACATAACCCAAATATACAATATCAAATTAAAAATATCACTATTACTATTTTTTAAAGGTGAAATACGCCTCGTGCATAGGTTTATGACTTCAAAGTGTTATAATTGTAAATGTCAAACCTTGGGTTCTCATATGAATTACGTGTTATTTATGTAAATCCCTCGTACTTTTTTCAATAAACAGGCCATTGTCATTTTCAAAGGAGATCTCTTGTGAAGATCTTTTTTTATCTACAGGTTGTTCTTGATGGCTATTCTGCTCCACTAACAGCAGGAAACTTTACAAAATTGGTAAGGTATCTTAATTCTGATTGAAGCCTCTTAAGTTTCTTCCAATGCAAAGAAAAGGCAGTCTGAATCTTTTATTTTTGCATGACCCAGTAATGAATTCTCAGTTGGATGAGATTCGTCTGTTGAAGTTTTGAAGTTGAAATATTTTTTTTTGATCTGTTGCTAAATAATTTTCTGTTCTTTTAAAGAAGTTGGAACCTTTTAGGTGATTGATGGTGCATACAATGGCGTGAGGCTTAAGTGCACCAATCAAGCTATTCTCTCGGACAATGAGCTTGACAATTATGGTTATAGTGTTCCATTAGAAATAAAGCCCTCCGGAGAATTTGAACCATTATACAAAACGTCTCTTAGCATCCAGGTTTGCTAATAGTTATTAATTAGTTATTTTTAGTGCTTATTATGGGTTTACATATCCCTTTTACTATTTTTCTTGAACATGATAGGATGGTGAATTTCCAGTGCTTCCACTATCTGTTTATGGAGCAGTTGCAATGGCACATAATGCAAATTCAGAGGAGTACTCGTCACCTTCACAGTTTTTCTTTTATCTTTATGATAAGAGAAGTGTAAGTAAAACACTCCATTGCATTATGACATGCAAGCTTATTTCTATATAATTACCACTGGATTCTCTCATATTTTTCTCCTTGACAGTTTTTCTTTTATCTGTATGATAAGAGAAGTGTAAGTAAAACACTCCATTGCACTATGACTTGCAGGCTTATTTCTATATAATTACCACTGGATTCTATCAATGTTTTGAGAAAAATAGGCTGAATCTTTTTTTTCTTAGCTTTCATTGCTATAAATAATAGTTTGTTCAAGCTATTTTAGGTACAAAATAAAGTGCATAATCTATTTTAGTTAACTTAATAATACATATTCCTAATCTAAATATTCAGATAAATGGGAAATAAATCAAAATAAAAATATTAGAAATAATTTAAATAATGAAGCTCCTAATTATAGAAAAACTCCTAATTTAGCTGTCTGATTTCCGTCCTTTCTGATTGACATCCCCCCTCCAAATTGTTGTTGGCTGCTCAGGAAATATTAATTTGTCAACAAAAAACTTTATCGGGACCAACAATCCTTAAGCCGTGAGTGTCGAAGCTGAATGTGCTTAAACCGAGAATGCCGAAGCCTCAGAGACAATTTCTGAATCATAACATGATTTGAGCAAATAAAAGCAAGAAATCTTTTATCATTGTCATCCAGAAATTCGAATCATAGCCACAAGAAGGATCTGCTTCCAGTTACACGATCCAAATAGTACCGATCATAGCCCACAAATAGGATCCTGTTACACGATCCAAATGCTATCGATCATAGCCTACAAGTAGGATCGCGTCCTGATCCAAATGATATCGATCATGACCCATAAATAGGATCCAATTACACGATCCAATTGCTATCGATTATAGCCCACAAGTAGGATCCGCTTCCCGATCCAAATGCTATCGATCATAGCCCACAAGTAGGATACGAGTTGTGTTATACGATCCAAATGCTATTGATTCTTCATGCGATGATGAGGACGATTTATTCCCTGATCTTCATGCCAAAAGTGCTGAAGCCGAGATGTCGAAGCCGTTGAGTGTCAAAGAAACCGCAGAAGCAGCGATGCCTAGCGAAGAAGATCTAAATCGGACAAATGATAATACAAACATAACCGCCCCTTTCAACCCAAGAACTTTTATACTTCACAATGAATGGATTTTGCACTTTAGAATAAGTTCGATCTCTTGGCAAGCAGACCTGCGACATCTATCTATCTGTCGACCAAGTTTGATCTTCTTCAAGACATAATTCTTCTTTTCCACCTTGTTTTTCACGAGAAGAGCAGAGCCACATGCCACTTTGCCAATCTGCTCCAATACCTCATACTCCTCGATGTTATCACAACCATTTAGCTTTTCTTATTTCAAATTTTATGAACAAAAACTTGATCCCTACTGTTTATACGCAACAGTATAACAATGACTTTAATTATAATTTTCACTTTTATTTTCTTACTTTGCAACATAACCAAAAACTTGATCATGAAAAAAATAAAACTCTTTAATTTATATATATTGGGATACTACGCAAGTATATATATCATTATCAAGTAATATAGGACATTTTTATTAAGACCTGAATATCGAGGCCACAGGAAAATTATGCAATATGCACTATTGAACAATAAACTTTCTATTATAAAAAGACAATTACTTAAACTATAGATATTTTCTCAGTATTAAAATTCAAATATTTTTTTGTTTGTATTTTTAATATTTTGACAAAACAATAACTAAGTAAGACAACTTGAGTTTATGTAAAAAAAAATCACTTGATATGCAAATACCTTTCTACTTATCATGAATCAGTAATAAGTATAGGAATTCTGTTGTGGAAGTATGCTAATTGTGTTATGCCAAAAAGGAGCAATTATATTTTAACCCTTATTAGAGATGTTATAAAGAACATTGATTAATTTAAAGTTTGAATAGTTTTGAAGACCAACTAGGCAGAGAAGATATAACTCTCACTCTAGAGTTCCCTCGATTTCCTCTACTTGGGGGTTAATATCTCGTATCAGAACCTAAAACAATAAACCAAGTTGAGGGCTTTAACTTATCATTTTAAAGTCTTCTAACTCTATACCCTTCAAATATTATTTTCTTATTTATTTGCAATAAATCATATGAATTACATTCTCATTCATACAACGTCATGTGATTTTTTCCAATTGTTGACTGAGACAATACCATCCTGGTTCTTATATGTTCTCACAACAAATTTTAACTTCTAGATGAGCCAGATTCAAGAAGTAAATGAAGTACATGAAATTAAATCATCACAACTTCTTCTAACTTTAAAGATTAATACTCACTACAACTTCCATCCAACACTTTAATTACTTATCATTTTAAAGAGAAAGATAAAGAAATCTACTCAGAATTCATGGAGAAAATAAAACCACACTTTAGTTTAAAAGTATAAATCATTGTCAAACCAACAAGAAGTCTCGATTAAAACCAAAAGTAGTTCAAAACAAAAGATAAAAACTTATCTCAAATCATCCACCAAACTCTTGAAGTTTCTTTGAATCTCTTCTCTCTTACAACACTCTCAAAATAAACTAAAAACAAAAAAAGATAAAATAAATTTGTGTGGTGCCTGAAAATCTCTCCAAAACTATATCTCAAAACTCCTTAGGACTCCTCCCCTTCAAACTTTTTTCACAACTTTCAAGCACTCCCTTCAAATGTCTAAACTTCCTTCTTTTATAAATTTTCCAAGAGGTGCCTTGGAAATTCTTCAAAATATGTCCATATTTGATGTATTCTCTAAGGGATGTCCTTTCACAAGTATTTTAATAATATTTTCGTTTCTAGTGGCCATAACCATCCTCTTTAGTCTTAAATGTCTCTTTTAAATTCGACCAAATGAAGAAAACCACCAAATAACTGCCTCTGGCGCTTAGGCGCGACCTTCTCTGTTTCAACGGCGCTTAAGGGCTGGATCTCGCGCTTAGGCGCCAAAATACAGGCGCCAAAACACTTTTGCACAAATTTCACATTTTTGCTCCAAATTTGATTATTTTCTACTCTTAGCATTTTTCAACTTTTTACTTGTACTTGAAAGAAAGACACAAATATCTTCTATTAAAGCACAATATCTCAAAAATAGGTATATAAATGCGTCTAAAAGCATTATATATTTTAGGTTTATCATGAAGCTCCCCTGAACAACAAATCTAAACTCATGGTTTAGGCATATATCATAATGTAATCAATACTAAAATTTATATCATCAGAAGTATATACATAAACAAGTCACAAACCACATCAGACATGAGAGCGCGGTCAGGATCGTCGACGATAGACGAGAGTGTGCCATCATAATCAAGAAACATCACGTCCTGTGAACCCTTCGACACTCTCGTGATCTCATCGAACTTGCTCAGCGCTGATGGGTGGCTCATCATCCAGATCGAATGCTCGTTCTACTCGGTGATGGATAGGGGGAAACCCGGGTCGTTGGCGACCTCACCGTCTCCTCCCCTTGCAAACGCCAACAGCTCAGAGCAAGCAGTCGAAGACAGAATTTGAACGAAAAGGCGGGAGATGGAACCAGTCGAAGATGAAGCAGACGAAGTAGAGGGAGCGAGCGCAGTTGACAGAACTGACAAACCAATTAATCGACCGAACAATTGAGGCAAACGATCAAGTGCAATGGAAGCAGGCGAAGCACTCCAGGAGACGGAGCAGTCGAGGTCAAGCGAGCCAAAAGAGCAGGTGAACAGTCTCGACGAGACTCTCAGAGATTTGCAGTCGAAGAAGGACGAACGATTCCTAACCTCAAAGACGCCAAAGATTCAGGTCGTAAGTATTGGACGTGGCTCTGAGAGTGTTCAGAGTTGTGTCATGTCTGCTTCCGTCGTGAGGGGCTTTATCAGATAGACAAATCAAGGTAAAGAAATAGTTCCTCCCCTCCCGCAAGAAGGCCGGCGGGAAGGGAGTCTTGACGGTACTTCAATTACTACCGATGGTTAGAGAAAAAATTTGGCTCTGATACCATGTCAAAGTTTTGAGAAAAATAGATTGAATCTTTTTTCCTTAGCTTTCATTGCTATAAATGATAGTCTATACAATCTATTTTAGGTACATAATAAAGTGCATAATCTATTTTAAGTAACTTAATAATACATATTTCTAATCTAAATATTCAACTAAAAGGGAAATAAATTAGAATAAAGACATTAAAAATAATTTAAATTAGGTAGCTCCTAATTATAAAAAAACTCCTAATTTAGCTGTCTGATTTCCGTCTTTCTTGATTGACAGAATCATGGTTGGTTTTCTAGTGGTTAGTTTACATTGTTCTCTAGTCATTGGTGAAGGTACACCTACTGTAGGAGTTTCCTGACAATGACGCACTAGTTCGTATAAGGGAGGCGTTTTTTTTTTTTTCATTTTTGCATTTAAAGACGCTTTAATCATACTAGCGGCGACCTAACTATTGTACCTGGTTCCATCCTCATCTCTAAGTCTGGATTGATTTAGGGTTGTAAATGAACAAGTACATTAGTTGAACCACTGGATACTTGCTTGTTAAAGGCTCGTTTATTTACATGATTGAATGACTTGAACTAAATTTAAAGAAGCTTGTCACATAAATGAGTAAGTTTCATTTAAAGATGAATTAATTATTTTTTTTGATGAATTATTCTATGTTATTGTATTAATTTTCATATTTATTGTGCACTTTAAAATTTAAGTACATTCTCAGAGGCAGAACAACAACAACAACAAATCCTTAATCCCACTACGTGGGGTCGGCTACATGAATATTTTTTCTCCATTGCGTCCTATTTAGTGTCATTTTCATTTAGTTCTATTAAATTAAGATCATTTTTTATATAATAAGCCCAAGTCTTCCTAGGTCTACCTCTACATTTCTTAACATAAGTCGAATCTAAGACATCTACTGTCATAATCAGATCATTAGATGGTCGACGCTTAATGTGACCAAACCATCTAAGACGACTTTCTCTAATTTTGTCTATCACATGAGCTAC